GTCGGGGTGACTCCGGTCAGCGTTTGTTTCCTGCTGCGGCGAAGATTAATTCATAAAAGGAACAAGAGCAGTGACGGAAACCTTGAAGTTGAGGTGTTGTGGCACAGGCTAATTACGGCGTTACGAAAATTAATTGGGAGACAAGAGTGAAGTAGTTAGGAGGCGGCCTTTTTAAGAAATCCGTTGTCTTAAGCTATTCCCAAATATTTCCAGGGGTATTTCGTGTCATTGGGATTGCTTAAGAGATGGTAGACAAGCTTGTCTCTGTTTATGCAAATATAGAGAAGGAGAAAAGAAAAACGCTTCCCCAGGCTACGGTATTGTTTCTTCCCCAAAATTGAAGATTGGGTAGAAATTTCAGAAAATGTCCTCAGCTCTTTCAACACCAGGGGAAAAAAAAAAAAAAATCTCCCTACAAACACGTGGAGAGCTGCCCTCGTTTTGGGATGAGTGTGCTTAGGGAACATCTTTCGCAGCTGGGGCAGTGAGGATGGTGAGGTATAAACTGGTATCTGTGATGGGTTCAAGTGAAATGGAGGAAGAAAGTTTTGTTTGATTAAAAGTGTAATCACAGAGTGGCCTTAAAGCTCATTACATAATTATGAGCGCAGCTGTGCAGTTCGGCTTTATGTAACAATTTTAAGCTCTTTCCTTAGTTTTCTATACGTGCAGTGATTGCCATTTTTATTAACGCGCAATTATTTGTGTGGTGGCCTGTGTAATGTCTTAAATGTTCTAAAAAGACAAAGCTTGGTGAGTTCAACCGATACTGAAGCAGATGATGCTGAGCTGTATTTCGCTGTGTTCGTTTTGGAGAGCACGGCTGTTAGGGAGAGAGCTTTCAAACAGCTTTCTGCTCGTTCTGGAAAGGATTATCTGCAGTGTAAGGCTGAATTCAGGCTTTGGTGCTGCAGAACCCGAAATGAAGTGTGTGTCCTTGACAAGGTAAATACAGAACTTCATAGAAGTTACAAACTGGAGATGTGCAGCGTGAGGTCGAAGATCCGATTCTTGGCTTAAAACAGTGCCTTTCAGCTTGCACCGTGTGATTTGGTTACTCAGGATTCCTTGACAGCGCTGTTTATCTTTCATCTTGATTTGTTCTCCCTTCACCTGAAGGTCCATGTGTTGCGTTTCCAGCCACCGAACATCTCTCCCTGCAGACTTGCAACTAATACAGGCTGAAGTTTATTTTCCTTTAGCTTGAATTCTTTTGGAAGTTGCCAGCTACTTTGGCTTCCAACAAACTTACTTGTTGTTAGCTAAATACAGTCTTTTTATTCTGCTGCAGTTTAGAGAGGTTTGTGGTTTATTTGATTTACTTCAGGAGACCTAAAGCAGAGATCTTATCGGCCCAGTTGTTAAACAATCCAAGACAAGCAGTGCAGCGTGGCAGATAACTTGTGTGTCAGTGAACTGAGCAACACAGATCCTTAAATCAAGAAGTCTCTGCTGAGGTATGAAGAGATCACCAGGATGTTCTGTCCACAGTTTTGAAATCTCTTCGCTGACAAATCCCTGCTGAAGTTTGAACGTTCAAGGCGATGTGCGGGTTTTCACGAGTTAAAATAGCCGCCTGACCCGTGTGAAGACAGTGTGTCACCGTTTCAAACTACGTTTTAATGCAGCCACACTTTGTTTTGGGTAGTGTGGGCAGGCTGCCTCGCTTGAGGTTTTGTCTGGATGGTCTCAGGAGCCCAATTAGCTCTGCTTTAAATCTACAGCACAGACTTGGCCATGGAAGCAAATGTTAAAGCTGCCGAATATAAATCTCATTAGGATAGATGCATGCTTTGTACCATATACCAAGGAATTACTGAAGGTCACCTCTGCTCGATGAGAGAGTTCTCTCTCATAATGAGAACTACAGTCTTGACGAGAAAAAGATGCATAATGTAATTTCAGTTGACTGGCAGTGGCTCTCTTCGCAGTTTGGGAGAGGCCGGACCCTTCCCTGTTGGCACGTCAGGGCAGCTAAGCTTTTCTGCTAGGTGTCGGTTGGGAAGTATTTATTTTTGAGGGAGGGGAAGCACATAGGGGTCAGGTTCTAAGCTAAAAGTGCTTGCTTGTAATTGTCTAGTAACATGGTGATGCACTGTAGGTGAAGTTGAAGATTATAATATAGAGCTGAAAAAAGGATAAAACAGTCTCGTGGCAGGGGTTTTCCACAACTGGTAGTGGGATATCTCCCTAGGAAATAGTGAAGCTCTCCCTGGGAGCTAAACACTTTTGTCTTTAAAACCAGCCTGGTGAAAGCATCATGATACTCTGTTAGGGGACAGGTTTGCTCTGCCTGAAGTGTGGATCGTGTGGACAAGTAGGTCTCACTTAATGCTTTAATAGATTGCGAGTGCTCGGTTTCTGACCTGCTGCCTGTTAAAAGTCATTGCAAGTCTCCCAAAGGCAGCCCAGTTTAATTTCTGCTTTTACTGAAGCAAGGAGCCAAAGCTCCATTGCTAGCAAAGAGCTGTTGCTGCAGAACCTGCCCTATTATATGTCTCTTTTGTTGCTGTAATGATCTATGTGGAGTAATTACAAAAGCTTGTTTGTTTGAATGACTAAAGCTAGTGCAGCGAGGTGAATGCTTCATCTACAAAATGACACGTTTCCTGAACATTTGGCTTAGTAGTAATTGTACAAGGAAAATGCAGTTTGCACTGCTGGTCTAACAGCACAGTAAAATTAGAGGTGGCTTTCCAGAATGGTCTCATGTTCTGTTATAATACGATATATGTTGTTCTTACGCAGATTATCTCGATAATGGCAATAATAAAATGGCAATCCAGCAAGCGGATAAGCTGCTCAAGAAACACAAGGATCTTCACTGTGCAAAGGTAGGTGCGGTGGCAGTGCACTGACCTCGTCCGGGTGAGGCTACCTCTGAGGCTTGGAGTGCTTCGCTGTGCCTTTTGAGCGATGTCCGCGGCCTTCCAGTGTTTTCTGAACCCCCTGGAACATCTCGGGCTGTTCTGATTCACGCAATATGGTCTTTGCCTGAAAACCTCACCTCTTGATGAGGTGCTTCTAATGACTGGTCCTTAGTAAAACATAACAAGGGGATTTTGGAGGCATTTGCTCTTCAGCTTCTCGTTCGCTGCCCTCCTTGCTGTGCCCCTGTGGGAGGGAAAGGAGTTCTGTTCCTCGGTTTTCTGAACGTATGGCCAGCTTTCTGCTCTTCTCTTTTTCCCTGTGGGTTTTCCTCTACAGCTCATACCACTTCTACATTTTGAAAGCTTCCCAAGCTGAAGCAAGTGTCATTGACCTGAATCTCCTTTATGTCAGTTCTCTCTGGCCAGTTATTGAAAGAAAATTGGCAGGACTGGTCAGTTGTCAGCCTGCAGGTGGGGAGAACTGAGTGGCAGCCGATGCTTTGGTGCAGCCCATGGGTTTGTTCAGAAATGAGGAGCCGCCCTACTCGATGCAGCTCGCGTTTGGAAGTTTTCCTCTGCAGCCATATGGATTGGAAGCTTGCTAAAACCTGAAGTTCTGTAGAAGTAATGAGGTGGTTGGGCGAAGCCTCTCCTGACCAGGAAGGAGAGGATTTTTGCTGGTAGCTGCCAACTGTGTTTCTAACAGCTGCCTCTGTGTTGTGTCAATAGGTTCTAAAGGCAATTGGCTTGCAGAGAACTGGCAAGCAAGACGAAGCGTATGCTCTGGCACAAGAAGTAGCAGCTCTTGAACCCACAGATGATAATTCCTTGCAAGCACTCACTATTCTTTACCGGGAAATGCATAGACGTAAGCTTTTTCCTTTGCCTCTCTTAAAAATCATAATTATTTACATTCTTCCAGAAGTATGTGACCCACAGTTTCATGGGAAACGTGCAAAGTCCAGGTGTCATGTTATCAAGAGACTCGGAGAATTTAAGTGGTGCCTGTTATAAATGCCTCTGAGGCTCTGGTGATCACTGTGAAGCAAAGAACCTTATTTCGGCTTCTCTCATTACCACGATTGTGTATGCAGTTCCTAAATGAGTGGCGTGCTAATAATCATCCATCACAGTCAGCCCCTGCGAGTTCGCTTTTTAATGAAAGCCACTGGAATTTGTTGTCCGTGTATGTAGCAGGGATGACAAATGGCACGGTCTGGGGTTTGGGGGGTGCTTGGTGCTGTGAGACCGTAGTCGAGGGGTTCAGGCCTGAGGGCGCTGTGTGACGAGCAGAAGGGAGATCCTGCCCTCTCCGTTTGACCACGTTGGCTTTTTCGATACAGCTCCTTGTAGCGATACGGTATTTTAAAAATGCTGAATTGGGAATGTCTGAGTGACAGAGTAAAATTGCATGTGCTTTTCTGAAAGAAGCCAGACCTTACCTACTGCTTATCTACAGCTCTAAACAGTTGTTGTTTCTGGCAGCTGCTTGTGGTTCTTGGTGGTGGTAGCAGCAACGTTTTCTGTTGAATTGCTGGAGCAACAGCAATGGGGTGAAACAACTTCTGTAGAAATGGATATTTGGTGTCAGTCTGCAATATAGCAATTGCTTGTGCTCTCCTCCTTTGTTTCTGTCTAGATGTGGGTGTGTACGTAGATGTGGAGTTAAAGCGCCATTTCTTGAATAATAGGAAATTTTTGTGTGTGTGTGACTTCAACAGAAACAAACCCCTGAGAATGTCAGAAGCCTTTCTGTGATTCTAAGCGACTTGCCTGAGCGTTAAGCGCATGTTTCTGGCTTTTAGGTTTATAACTCAGAAGGGAAATAGTGGGTGTTGGGCGCGTCCACTTTTGGTCCTCCTGCAAGAAGATTGTAATTAGATGTTTTATGTGTGTGTGTCGAGGTCATGTAAACTACGTGAAAGACAAATTACGTTTATTTTTCTAATACTACACTGAGATGTTGTATGTGTAAAGAAAAAAAAAACCAACCTGGAAGGGTGAAAATGTAAGGAAGCTTTGTGTATTATAATAGAAGTATTTAGTCGTCATAGAGCTATTATTAAAAAGTACAGTGTGAAATATTTTACTTACTAAGAATACTAAAGTAGGCAATTGGGAAATGACAGGATATGACCAACATAAGTAAATCTGCAGTAACAGTAACTAATTTGGTACTGGGCTCTGAAAACGCTCTGTGTTTTGATACGTAATTCACGTGGGCCAGTCATTCTGCCAGGAGCAAAAATCTTCATTCAGTTTAGTGCTCCGAACTAGAGAAACTTTCTTCAGAAAAAGACTGAAGTGCTTCTGAGCAGTTCAGTTGTCGCTGTTAACTCTGTTTTGAGGTTGGTTTGGTTGGGGTTTTTTAAGCACTTTCTTCCTTTGACTACTGTTTGTAGTGCTTGGGGTCTTGGGGGAGAGAGTAGCGTTTCCGTGGTTGGTGAGTGCAATTAGATTACTGTTCAGCGTATCGCTGATGCTATCTATAGGTAGCTGTGCTTTAAAATTATTCACAAATTTGTCTTAACTCGAGCATCTGGTTTTGGTTTAGCGGAACTGGTAACTAAACTTTATGAGGCAGCTGTAAAGAAGGTTCCCAACAGCGAAGAGTATCACTCTCATCTCTTCATGGCCTATGCCAGGGTTGGAGAATACAAGAAGATGCAACAGGTACGATCAATAATTTGTGTTCTGGTCATTTTAAGGTGTCTTTTTCTGTTAATCTTGCTGGTGGTGCCTTTTCATGTTAGAAGTAATCTTGCAGAACGCTAAGCTGGGTTAATGCAGAAGTTATACTCTGTTAGCTGTCACAGAAAGGCTTAAAAGACCATTATTGAGGGGGTGGGTTGTCTGAAGACATGCTTTCTTTACGTGGGACAGGACAACTGTGCCTTCTGTGTGCATGTCTGGTCTGATAGAACACGTTTGGTTGTTTTGAGAGGTTTTTATCACTGTCTTGAACGGTACGGTGGCTGCATCTGAGGCAGTGTATTATAAAGGAGTCCTGGAATAGATGGAAAAAGATCTAGCAAGAGCTTCTGAGCCGTGTTTTCAGACTTGATTTACTCTGTAGGGTGCAGTTATCTTTGGGAAGAGTAATCTTGCCCATGCTCTTGCATCTGGAATCTGACATATAACTAGGCTTGTATTGGTTGCAATTCAGTGCAGAAAAGCTGAAAAGCACTTCCTTTAAGTGCATCTTACTTCTCAGTTGGCAGAACAGCGTCATGCTGGTTAGTTTTGTTTTCGTCCCTTCCGAACTAGGTGCCTGGAGAATGCCTATAAATGGAAGATTCTTTTCAAAGCATGCGTGCTCGCTCCTCTGTATAAAAAAGCACAGAGACCAAGTAAATGAGTCCTAAACTCCCTCTTGTTCGCACTGTGTTAAGATGACTTGAATTTTTATACAAGTTTGGTTTAAATAACTAGAAGAAAATGTTGAGCAGAAGTGTTACTCCTCGTTGTAGCTCAGCTTGTGTGCTGTTTGGGTTCAAGCTGTAGACAGGGGCTAAGTTATTAACGTACATGAAACTACAAGCCTCGTATGACAATCTAAACGTCAGAGACCAGACTGTGTGTTAGTGGTACTCCTGTCTACAACCACGAGTGGAAGAAACACAGCTCTTACACAGATATTTACAGATATTTATCGCTATCTTACAGATAATTATATTTAACATTTATGTGACCTTTTGTACATTTAAAATGCCTACACAAACATCTATCTAGTTACATTATCCAGACACCGTCAGAGTAGGATCTTGCAGATTGGCCTGTGAATTTGACCGAAGGACTTAGAGATGCAAAGAGTGCGTGGATGCTAACTGGTTGGAGAGTGACAGTAAACCTCAGCGTCCTGTGTTCTGGGGCATTTCAGCTGAAAGTACTGGAAAATGCAAACAGAGACTGCAGTCAGGAAACGGGCACGAAAGTCCATCTGTGGTAGTAGACTGTATCTTACGTAGCTTCTTAAAATTAATTACAGATTTTGTATGGGTAAAAGTAGTGTCTTTCATTATACACAGGCACTGGAAATCTGTGAGAGAAATGTGTGAATAATTTTCTGTGTTAGGCTAGAGAATCTTGACTGTTTGGGCTCTGCTTTGACACAGCCAAGCTTTCAGCTGGAGCATTGCTCAACCGCTGCTTTGCACGTATAGGTGACCTCACATGTTGGGTATCTGAGTGTGTGTATGAAATGAGTGTTGAAGGGCAGCTGCTTATGTGAGGGAGGCACGTGCTTTGGTGTGCCTTTTAGCACCGACTGAGCTGAAAATCGGCACTGGAGATATCCGCCTCACTCCTAAAGAATAAGTCTTCTGCTTCCTGATGTAGTTACCACTTCTAATTAAAGCTGTCATCTGTTTCGGCAATCGTACACGCACATGCTCAGTGCTGTTTCTTGTCAGACCTACACAAAGTACTTGATCTCTGCAACATTTCCACCCTCTGTTTTCTTCCTCTTTAGCAACGTATGTTCGGTTATGGAAGGGCTCATGGGCTGGTAAAGGTCTTCCCATCTAGTTGCTAATTGTGTGTTGTCTGCTGCCATCGTTGCTGCCTAGCTTGTCATGAGAGCTTATAAACAGATATATTTCAGGAATGATGAAACTTTGTCTTATATTTTTCAGGCTGGAATGGCACTTTATAAGATCGTGCCCAAAAATCCATACTATTTTTGGTCTGTGATGAGCCTGATTATGCAGGTGTGTACAGTGTTGCAAACACATTTGACTTTCGCTGCAGGTATAGTGCAACTATAGAAACGTTCTGAATGAAAATATTGGGTTATTTTAAGTAAAATGTGTGTTTGAACTATTTCTGTATGATGCTGGGAGAAGAACTGGGCCCTCCTTAAGTAGCACTATTGATGTGGTGCAGAATGAATGCAGCAGTGTTTTCATAATGCAGCTTAACCGGTCTGCCTTACCTCGTTTATACGACGTAAATCGTTTTCTCATCTGGACTAGTACCCGACTGTCTTTTTAGGTGGAGAGCTAGTGAGTAAACCTCAAATACCAGCAGCCCCTTAGGCAGAGCTGTTCCTCTCTAACTGGGTTATAAAGGCGATAGGAGGAAATAAAGGCGAGCTCTGGACTTTGCATGTCTTTAAGGCTGCAGCAGGCCTGCTGGAATAGGCAGCAGACGAGCTGTGCTGCTGTTGTGGAGATCGCAGGTTCAGGCACTAGTCGGACAACCCGACCGAGCGTTGGCCGGACAAAAAATAAGCACGTTGTCTAAAATACCGTGCCGTGGAAAACACAGACGTGTTCTTGCTGCGTGTTACATGCCATGGGTATTGTGTGCCTCGATGCGTGAATCTCTGGACGGTGTAATCAAGAGTGAGCTTTCCCCTGTAGCACTCGGTTTATTGCTGCCTTTTAACGGAGCGCTTGCTCTCTGTGTGACAGATGGCAGCTCTGAATGTGTGCTTTGGGGTGGGGGGGATTGAAGCACCTGGGTTTTGTTGGGTTTTTTTTTTCCTCTTCTGATGTGAAAAAAGCAGCAGGTGGGACAACACCAAAAGTTGATGAGCTGTTAGAATAATTCTTCTCTTCCTTAGTCTATTTCGGCGCAGGATGAAAACCTCTCCAAGACGATGTTTTTGCCACTAGCGGAGAGAATGGTGGAAAAAATGGTGAAAGAAGATAAGATTGAAGCTGAGGCTGAAGTAAGGGTTGCAGATACTTTCAGCTTAATTTGAACGTTATTGAGAGAAGGAATGCACTGTTAAAGGGAGTTGATTGTTTTAACAGTTTTCCAAGATAATAAACAGTCATGTTCTGGAAGTAAATGTGAATGTAGTGGAACAGAAGGAAAACCGAGAGCAGGGGGTGGAGAGGGATTTAGAATCGTGTGGCCAAGGAAATTTTTTGGCATTTGATTTGACCGATGAAGTACTTGGGTTTGCTCCCTGGGAGGCCCCAAGAGAAACTTCAGGACTGAGAATGGAAAAAAGACCTAAATTCCTGAATGTTCCACCCTCTGGGATGCTAAAGATAGCTTTGCAGGCCTGGCTATCTCCTATTTCTAATGACAGTAACACAAGCCACTTTATTTCTTGGCACACCTGTGTATGGTTTTACTAGCAAATTTCATTGCCGTCTAATCTTTCTTTTAAGGTCGAACTGTACTACATGATTCTGGAACGTCTGGAGAAGTATAAGGAAGCCTTAGATGTTGTGAGAGGAAAACTAGGAGGTAACTTATCTGTCAATGAATAACCACAGTTGTCTGGAGGACTTGTCCACTGATTCCAAAAAACAAAAGGCTGTAAGAAGCCTGATTCTTCTCACCAGTTTCAAACATTGATGCAAGCTCTGGAGGTGCTCTTGTGCAAGCTGGTTCTACCCACCTGTGTGTGGTATTTAAGCGTTACTCAGTGCTGAGCTTTGCAGCAGTATGCTGAGCAGTAGTAGACCAGTAGCATGTTAGTTTGTTGTAGCTGCCATCTTAAAAATTCCAACTCTCCTACATTTTGGAGTAGTCTTTCTGCTCATTAAAATACACTTGCAGTTTTAAGGAACTGGGATACAAAGGTTTCCATAGGAAATCTGTCCTTTCTGTCCTTTGAGGGCCTCTCTGCTGTTCTCTTACACTTAGTTTTGCGTCCTGGGCTATAATAAGAAGCTTTATGCAGAAAGCAGAGAAGGAAATGCATTGGTTCAATAAACTTGCCCTTCTGTTTTTAATTTAGAGAAGCTGACAAGTGAGCTCCAAAGCCGCGAGAACAAGTGTATGGCAATGTACAAGAAGCTGCGTAGGTGGCCGGAGTGCAACGCGCTGTCGAGAAGGCTGCTGCTGAAAAAGTGAGATTATATTTCTGCAGAAAAAAAAACTGAAGAAAAATTCCTGGCTGGTTGTGAATTGCCTTGTTTAGTGGCTTTTGTAAATGGTGGTTAAACCAGCAGAACATCAGAGGATCTCAAAGCATTTCCAAACGGTTGCTCTCCCAAGGCTGAGGAAAGGGGCAGCAGATGGAGCGTTAAAGGGACATGGTGAAGGTCACAGGGAGAGTCAGTGTCGGGGCTGTAGTTGCTTCTTTTTGAAGGCTGACTTTAGCGACACGTTAGTGCAGTAAAATTTTGGTTACCTCCTTATTTCTAAAGGCTGCGCTGGTTCTCCGGCTCTAACTTTGATGGTGGGAGAGGAGAAGAACTGCATGTACATTTAATTTTCTGGAACTTCATTTCTCTCACTTGGCCAGACTTTATACTGGGAAGTGCACGTACAGCTTTGAACAGACGCGTCAGGAGAGAGCACTGTAGTGTCATCAAATCTGTCTCTTGGAACTGTCCAGAGAGATTTGTTGTTTGCTTTTTGAATTGCCCTAATAATCTTAAAAGTTAAATACAGAGGAGAAACTTCTACCTTAGCATTTTGTGGGAATATTAATGAGCTCTGATTGGAATGTAAATGTTAAGAGGAGAGTTTGTAGCTTGCCATAATTCTTTATTGAAGTTGTTTCCTTTAATACATTTCAAGAAATTCGGGATGATGGCATTCTTGAGATGTGAGACCTTTTCAAGGAGAAGTGATCTGATTATGGTTGTTTTTTCTGCAGTGTGAATATCCGCTGTTCCTCAAATTCAGCTTTTGCAAGGAATGGACTTTTAGAAGTGATGTACTGTTTTGGCAACTCCCTAAATTTTGTTCTGTACCTGATTTTTGTTTCAGCTCAGATGATTGGCAGTTTTATATAACTTACTTTGATTCAGTGTTCCAACTCATTGACGAATCCTGGACACCTCCAACAGAAGAAGAGCAGTAAGTTAGCGGTTTTGCTGTGGATTTGTTTTTTCCTCGTGCTACAGCAAATTGTTTGCATTCGTACATTCAGTGCAGCACTGTCTGCCTCTTTGGGTGACTTTTTGATGTTAGACCCCGAATGATGTGTTCTCCCTGCTTTGTTTTGGAGGCTGGCAATAGTTTATTGGAAACAGCTTTTTAAAGAGGGGTTTGCACACTATAGAACTCTTCCAGTTCATATTTTCCGTGGTAATTTGAGGGAGAGAATCCATCTCATGCCAGATTTCCTTAAGAGTATCCTGGGAGTATGCTGAGCTCGCGTTATCAGTGCCCTAGCAATGGGAAAAATCAAAGAACCTTTTGTCTCTTTAATTGCACAGCTCTTTGGAAGGAGAGGTACACTATTCTATAGAGCAAGCTGTGAAGTTCATAGAAGAAAGGATAACAGAAGAATCTAAGAGCGCACGGCCACTTCGGGGACCATATTTAGCTAAACTGGAGTTGATCAGACGTTTGCGATCCAGAGGTTGTAATGATGAATATAAACTGGGTAAGAGCCGCTGACGGGGTGATGAATTAATCTTTTGGAGAGAGAACTTGCACTTGGAACGAGCTCTTTGCTAAATCACTGAGTTAAAGACAATGTCTGTTATGAAAGTGTACATGCTGTTGTCTGGCTGTAAACGCTTTTGAAAGCGTTAGAAGATGAGCCTTGAGGAAGGGCAGGTCGTTCCAGACTGCTCCAGCGCTTGTACAAGCAAGCAGGGAAATTTTTCAAAAGGACCTGTGGGATCTGGGCGCGTATGGTCACTGACGTCGTGATGAAATGTGCGTTCCCGATGCGCTGCTTTTGTGGAAGGTCCTGCTGTTACCCTGTAATCTCTGGGTGGGTTTTCATTTCCTTTTTTTTTTCGCAGTAGTACCAGGTTTTGCTTTCTCAAAACTTGCATTTAAAGGTCTCATTTAGGGAATCAGTGAAGGAGATAATGTGATTAGAGCAACATCTGTGCTACTTACTGGTTACTTTTGTATTTCCTTCCAAAAATAAGTTACTATTAGATAAGCAGAGGCTGTATGTGCATGCCTGTTATGCTGAGCTCTTATCTGCCAGCGAAGCTTGAATGAAGCTCTTGGGGCTGGGTTTTTTTTATGTGTCCTTGGTTACCAAAGACGTTGAGCCTCTCTTAAAATCTGCAGTAGTGCAGCTATCCATTTTCTAGATCGCTATGTAATCTCACAGGGAAAAAAAGAAAGCATTACCAAAGGTTTCTCATAGTGATTTTATAGATTCAGCTTTTGATGGAGCATATTAAAAAGATGAGCTGGCCTTTTTCCTAGGTGATCCGGAAGAGCTAATGTTCCAATACTTCAAAAAATTTGGGGACAAACCCTGCTGTTTTACTGATCTCAAAGTATTTGTGGATCTCCTCCCATCCAGCCAATACACAAAGGTAAGGGATAATAATGAAGCAGGGGCAGGAACTGCACCACTTGTTTGCACTCTGGTCCCTTTATCTTAAAATATCTATGGTCATATCAAAAGATGGGAAACATCAAGTTTTTACCTTCTGTTTGAAATTCAGAAAACTCTTTGCACTGTAGAAAATACGAGGAACATCTGAATACACTGAGCAATTCCATTCAGAGGGTTTTTACTGGAGACTAAAAACTACGTTTGATCCTGCGGAGTCTCGGACCCAGATGCAGTATTTGCTGGGCTTTTTTATTACGATTTCAAGGTGTCGGGGTGCTTTGAGATTGTCTTGGTTGAATTCTCCCCTTTCCCTTCCCACCCATCACTTGTTTCTCCCATTAATGTTATGCGTTTAATGGGAAAAATCTGCTCCTCACCCGATGCAGGCAGGGTGTCACGGAGATGTTTTGCTTGGCGCCGCTGCAGTGCCGAAGAACCAGCACGCTGGTGCTGATCAAGGGGTGAACGAGAGACCTGTGGCAACTTTTCCAGATCTGTTTAACTGAAAAGACTGTTTGTTCAGAGTCATGAGCAGCTCGTTGAATGACTTCAGCAGCTGGGAATCCTGTCACTCACCCCATTGTTTTTCTAAGCTATTGTGTAAAATTATCGGAGCTGGGGAGGGCTGGACAGAGAATCCTGGATCAGCCAGAGAATGTTGATAAAATGTTGGTAAACAAAGTGTAGATAGTGGTGGTGGTCTTTAGGTTACTAAAATATTTTTTCGACTGATAATGCAAGCTCATCTCACAGCCTTACTGCTAACGAGGGTGATGGCCCTGGCATGTATGGGTTGCTGCTGATATTTTGTGTTAAGAGGTGTGGTTTCACCCCACTGGCAAGAGATGTGGTCAGAAGGCTGTTTAACTCGTAGTTCAGGAGATAGTGATACCATTGCAAGGTAACCCTGAAGTACTGAACAGGTTTAATCCTGACTTTCCAGGAAACAAATCCTAAACCTGGAGCAGGAGGGAATTCTATTTAATAATAACAACTTAGGCTATGGTTTTGTCACAGTGCTTGTAAAACCATGACCTTGAATAAATTCTCTAAAACTTTCTGATTGGCCTTAAAACTGCTGCTGATTTAGTGAATACTGTGTCATACTGATGTAGTAGAAGGTTTTCCCAGGACACAGCTGTCTTCTGGCTGTTGTGTCTCTGAAGCAGGCGTCTGCAGCAGTTTAACTTGGCTAGCTGAGGAGGTGTAACGGTGCTGAAGCGCTGATGAGTTTTTAAAACCTGGAACTTTAAGTTACTTAAAATATTTATAGATTGTCTTTAGGTGTATTCTTGTTTCACAGCAAAAGATGCTGAAGGTCGTTGTAGCCCAGGTAAAGTAGCAGGGTCACGCTGAGGCTGGACACAGCTCGGGGGGCTCAGTCTTTAAGAGTTCTGAACAGCGTTACAGTGCAGTAGCAGAGAGTATGGCAGTCTTGCTGGGCCACTAGACGCGCAAGATACTCCAGAAATAATCGTGACATCGGTCTTGATTTCCTGGAGGCATCAGCCTAGTGATTTGGTTGATCTGGCTCAGCATGGCAAAATCTCAAACTGAAAAGATTTATCGCCGCAGTCTCTGGGAACAGTGGAATTTGGGTGCATGCCGCTGTGTGTTCCTCCTGTCTGGCCGTCATGCTTTTTCCCTCGGGCACGTGTTTGATGCAGTTCTTATGTTTCAAGACCAAATGCAGTAAAGCTGAATTCATTGCCTTTAGCTCAGGTTTAAGTTTGTAAATTCTGCTGGATTTTAGGGCAACAAGTAACTGCTGCCTGGCCCTGACTATGTTGAGAAGTCTGCTGTCTTCCATTAAAAGTGTAAACAACGAGAGGCTGCTTTTCTTACAAATTAATTCAAATAATAAGTCATTAATCAAAGATGATGACCTCACTGAGTACAGTGCATTACTTCAGAGCTGAAAGAAAATGCAATAGCTAGTACAAAACCACAATTTCCTGGAAGTGTGCTGTGAAACCTTTCAGTAACTCATTATTTTAATTGCATATGTTATTACTGTGAGTGTTAACAGGTGCTTGAACTCCCTTGTGTGTCGATGTATTGGAAACTTGCCTGTGATTTATTTTTTAACTCCATCTGTTTGATGAAACTTACTGAAAGCTATCGAGTGCAACCAGAACTGCGTGCTCAGTGCCTTTCATACAAAAAGTTTAAACAAAAATAAAAAATAAATTTAAGCCAGCTCTTTAACCACGGATTTCAGTGTGACATCAGGGTTGATGCTGACGTTTCCACCTTGCTTTTCTTCTCTCTTGATTTGAGGCAGGAAATGATGCCTTCCGTTTGTGCGGTCCCAGATGCCCTGCAGAATTTAACAACGGGGTTTCTCTTTCAGTTCATCAGTCAATTGCTGGAAGTAATCCCTCTGTCGGCAGCAGCAGAGGGTGAAATCGCACTGCCCGCCGATATCAAAGCTCTGCAGCAGCACTTGTGCGTGGTGCAGCTCTCGAGATTGCTCGGTATCTATCACGCCATGGATAAGAAGCAAAAGCTGACTGTGGTCCGGGAGTTGATGTTAAGATACCGCCACGGATTGGAGTTTGGTGAGAAAAATCTTGAAACTAGTGCTCCATCTCACTTGCGGCTTTTTTTTTTTTTCAGGGGGGGCAGAACAGCACAAACACTGATGGCAGCCGTTGTGCTGCTAGATGATACTTTGCTTTCTTCTTTATGATTATATCCTTGGATATACCCAAATTATCTGTTTCCTTTTATTTTTTGTCTTTTCAATTGTGTATCTTAAAGATAAATAGAATCGTAGGATCATTTAGATTGGAAAAGACCTTTAAATCACCGAGTCCAACCATTAACCTAACACTGCCAGTGAGACCTTCCTGGGCAGTTCAGATGGTACATTCATATCTTTGCAAAACTGCCTGTGCCTTTAAGCAAAGTCAGGCATTGCCACTGGTGTGCATAGGACAGATACACAGGCAAGAACATTAATTCTTAAATCTTGCAGTCGTAGGAGAGTCTTTTCTTCTTCTAGCAGGTGTCAATGTACGAAGTGGCCCAAAGTCCCCTCGTGTGATGCACAAATGCAGCACGTATACAGTTGTTTCAGTTTTTAGGACAACTCTGGATTTTATAAATTAAGCTGTGGTTAATGTCTGCCAGCTCGCCGTGTCATTTGATCATGCTGACAATGTGAGAAGCAGCTGCCAGCGCTATCAGAAATTGAAGGGCAACTTTTTTTTTTTCTTTTTAGGGAAATCTTGTTTGAAAACTGAATTGCAGTTTTCAGATTATTACTGCCTGCTTGCAGTTCACCTGCTGCTTGATCTGTGGCTAGAAGGTATGTTTCTAAACTTGTCTTGCTTGATATCACTCTGGATGGATGTGGTAGGGAGACTGTCGCTGTGGCCAGTGTGTACCTGGCATGGCTTGTTTGGTCCAGAGCTTTCTGGGTTTTTGCTCTCAATATGAGGTATTTCAGAAGTCCATTTGGTGTTTGATCTGAATCTCGCTGACCCCTAAAGGGATTTAATTTTTCTGATTAATTCTTGTAAGTCCTGGCAGAGCTTTGCTGATGACTCTCGCAGCTCAGTGCTGGCTGTCTTCAGAAGCTTGTTCCGAGCTGCCAGTGTAGGTAATGTTTTCTCTCCCTTTGCATGAGTTCTGCTGACAACTCCTTTCTGATAGCAGAGGTGTTCTGAGAGCTTTTTTTTCCTTCCCTGGCATACTTTGTCTTTTGGATCCCTTGCTTCTAGACTTTCTGCTGAGACCTGTTGCCCTGTCTTGAGTATTCCTGTACTCTACACCTTCTCTGCCTGTTAGTCTCCCAGGCCCACAGAGGCAGTCTCCTGTGGTGGCTGACCGTGGGCACTGCTTGCGTTCCTTCCCTTCACATAGTTGTCAGTTATGCCTTTGTCTTTTCCAGGGAAGATTTAGTCTTTAACCTGAGTAAATCCATGGTCGGGTTCCTGGCAGGTCACTGGTGGAGCATGGGCTCCTGAGTTCCCAGCTCTGTGCCGCTCTCCCTTGCGTGATGCTTGGGGGAGCTCTATTATAAGCTAGAAATCCTGCGCAGGCCGGGACTTGTCAGGGAAGGTCACTTCTGCAGTGGGCTCGTGTGCGAGGGCTGTGCTCTATACGGATGTGAGTTAGATCTTCCCAGTGAAGAAGTATTCCTCCACCTTTCCCTCAGAGAGCAGCTGTAGTGCTGGAGTGATGGTTTACGGGCAGCAGCGTGGCTGATGGATGCCCTCTGCAGGGTTAAAGGCATGTGACCGTTTTGAGAGGTAACTTGAGGGAGGAAGGAAGCTTCAATGCCGAAGTGAACTGTGCTGTCAGCGTTCGGTGCCTCTCTCTGATCACGCGTGTCTGTGTTTTATCTTTGTCACCAGGTGAAGAGACAGCTGTGTGGCAGTGCCTAGCTCTCTTAGAAGAAGGGTTATCTCATAGTCCTTCTAATGCTCAGTTTAAATTGCTGCTCATTCGAATCTACTGCAGGCTTGGTGCATTCGAACCTGTTGCAGAGCTCTATTCCAGCCTTGATGCAAAACACATACAGCACGACACCATCGGGTGGGTAGTATATACTGAGAATAATTGGTGATGGTGACCCTTCAGTAACCAGTCCTGACATACTCGGTTTCCTTTGCTGCCGAGAGTTAGCAGACCATCAGATTTTCATGCGGTGTTGTGCAAAAGTGGTTTGGAGTTTTGTGAGAAACATCTGCTGTAGTATGCTCCCATCTTTTCCTGTGTGATTTCAGAGTATTGACCAGGGGGAATCTGAAAGAAATTTGTGAATTGTGTGTCTTGATGCCAGCCATAGCTTGGTGTTCCAGCTTGTGTTATTGCTCGGCAAAGCTTGGGAGCACTAGTTAAAACAAGTACACCAAATGTTCAAGCCTCGGTTGGTGTGTTTCTGGGTATCTCATTAAGTAAAGCTCTTGCACGCTTAACAAGGTGGATGGAGGAACTCCAAGCCCCCACATACTGGTTTTAAAAATTTAAGAATTCCTTCCGTTACTTTTAAAAGCTTAAATTTTAATATGAGTGTTGTGAATGCCCTATGTTAAATCTCCAGACATCATGAAAGCTACAGTTCTCTGTTCAGAGCTGTGTTTGAAATTCAGGTGTCCCCAGGGTTGTGTGCTGATGTTTGACTTGGGCTGTGTTGTGTTGCAGCTACCTTCTGACGCGCTATGCAGAGGCGCTGGGCCATTATGCTGCTGCATCCCAATCCTGCAATTTTGCACTCAGGTTTTTCCACTCCAACCAGAAAGATGTAAGTTGAAAGAAACTTTTGTGTCTTTATAACAGAGCAGTTTGTCAAGATGCCTTACAGAAGTCTGCGCCCTCTGTAAGGGCTTACGGGAATGTAGTGGTCCGTAACATGATAACAAAGAGGAATAATACCTGCAACTTTGTGTTTGTAGTAATGCTTGCCTTAATCTGTGTGTTTTGCAACTTTGTGTTGCAGTAATTTGTAGTAATGCTTGCCTTAATCTGTGTGTTTCTCATTACAAGAATCTGTAACTTACTGTTGTTTGGGGTTTTGCTTTAGCTTTCTATTTATAAAAGCCAGTTTTAATGCTCAAAATGCTCAAAAAAACAGGTATGATTACTTTTAAATGAATGGATTGTGATTTTTATGGAGTAATTTAAATGAAATGTGACAAATAGATCCTGGTGTCGTACAACTTCTAGCGTTTTGGAGAGTCCTACAGCAGCCAGGGATGGTGGGTCAAGACAGCAATGACATGCTTACGAATCCTTTCTGGTACAAGCACCTAAGCAGCGTGTTTTAGTGGTGGCCATCCTGGGCACACAGGGATGGTGGGGAATGCACATGGCTTGAAAAGGTAGGGAATGCAGAAGGAACAAGGTGGGAGGATTTCAGAGGGGAAAAACAGAGTCTTGAAGTCTTAGCTTCCCTGAGGGCAGAGCAGAGCCCACGACTGGCCGTGTTATTTTGAAGCGATAGGATTGAATTGCAAAACCTGGTCTTGCGCTAACGGGAATGACCTGTTTGGTTTATGTAGTTCACCCCTAAAAGCAAAGTGAACTAAAAGAATGTTGTCTTGAATGAGAGTCTTGGGCCTGGAATGGAGGAGATACTGAGGGGAAAGAGGCTGAATTCCTCCAAAGAGATCAGGTGCTTCCTAAAACACACACCATGCCCATGGCAGTCGCATGCTTGTAGCTTGCTGATTAGCAACTGTACTTGTCAGTGGTCTTACTTGGGAAGTACACTGTGATGTACATGCTGGTACATTCACAGGGAGAATATAAATTCTGTTTCAGAATTCCCATGGAGTCCATGAAAAATGGGCTAGGTAGGAGAACAGTGGAACAACACATTTTTGAAGTCTTGGTGGAAATATCTTGGGCAAATAGGAACGGAAAGAGTCCAAAATTGTGGCAGGGATATATATGTCTGTCAGTCCACCCCCCTAAAACTTGCAAGGCAGTCCCATTCTGAGAAGGGGGAATATATCCTGTATATTTGTATTTTACAGTTTGATCACCGTTGAGAGGTAGGTGAAAAAAAAATTATTTTTACTTTACTTTGTAAGAAATAAAAGTGTAACTCCAGTTGTAACTCTTCCAGTCAGCTGCTGGCTAGGTTGAATCCAGGGGCTCTGCAGTCATACAGCTCGTTCTCCTGCTGTCCCAGCAATAGATAAAGACACAGGACTTGTGTGGATGAATACTAAAGATGCTCGCGCAGTGACCCCTCAGGAAAAGGACCCTTGCTTTGTTGGCAGCCCGGGTTGTTCTTCTGTACAAGTTGCCGTTTACCTGTGCCCAGAAGGTGGATGCTGAGTTACTGTGACCTGTGTCTGACAGAGAAATTTTACTGTAGGGATGCACAGAGGAGCACGTGGATTGTACGATGGGAGCTCGCTCTTGACCGCTTCCCTCACCTGCGCGTTGTTTGAGCGCTGATTCTGCTTGTTAAGAGTCTCTGGACTGCTGGGTGCAAGGTTTTGTGCTGGAGTGAAGCCTGGATGCAGACAGCTTTCTCAAACGTGTCTAGTGTTGGTAGTGGCAGCTTTTTTTTTTTTTAATGAGGAGTAACTTACTCAGTCTCATTTAAAAGTCATTCAGTGGATGCTAATGAAAAGCGTACCTGGAACCAACCGTCTGAATAAAATGCACGGCTGCTGGGTGCCAGGTGAACAAAGTGATCCAAAAAAAACTATCAGATGTGATTTGTCTGCTTGGGAACACTGCTTTGTAAAGCATCAAGAAGTCATCTTTCCCTGGAAAACAATCTGAAGTAACTTCAGGTGTGGTGACTTCGGAAGAAGGTTATTTTCTGATGTGAAGGATAAAGGTGCTTGTGGCAGAGAAGAGCTGATGGTCTCCAGTAGCTCAACATCTGTACATGGACGAAGAGAGCCACGTTCCAAGTGCTGTTGCCAGGAAAATGCTTCACGTTCCAGAAATCCTGAAAAGGCAGTGCCTGAATGGTCCAACCTGCCTCGCTATTACACCTTAAAAGGTTGAAATTGCAAAAGGGACAAAGTGGTGCCATCAGTTTTATCTACTTCTTCATGCTACAGGATATAATGTGACTGGAACCCACTCGCATCGTGTCTCATCTTGGAGACAGAGTATTGCAACCAAAGGACCGTGAGCCATTGTTGATCTCGGGTAGCCAGAGTGTGTTCTGGACACTTGCAGTGGTTATCACCTTAAGATCCTTTTAGTTGGGAAATGCATCAAAAAACATACTCATTTGCAAATAGAGTCCTTTAAACCAACCGTGAGGTGCAAATTGCAGGAGGTGAAGGCTTACTTCAGGGTGCTGTTCACCCAGGACGATGCCCTGACGAGAGTGGAGCTGAAAAAAGCGATTCCTTGCTATAGGACATGTCGCAAGTATCGCAAGGGCAGAGTCTGCTAGCAGTTTCTGTGCTGCTGTGGTTCTGCTGGGGTTGCCCCTTCATATTCAGGGTCCTGGTACCAGCTTCCCATTCGAATCCCGTAACAGCATTGAACTGCAATGTTAAAGGAGGACTATCCTTCAAAAGTTACCTTTTTACATGGTTTCACATACTGCCTGCTCCTCTCTGGGTTGAGGTTTAAGGTAGCTGGAAGGTCCGCTGCAGCACAGAGAACATGTCCTGCGGCACGCTGTGCGTGGGACTCTGCCTAGAACAGGACGTGTGGGGTATAAACGAAGAGGTCCGGCGCAAAAATACAGCTATGGATTCAGACTGATTGCTTTGGATAAATACGTTTTCCTTCTGACTTGCTGAACTTAACAGCCTGGAGGGAGTCCTGTTTAAGAGTGGGTCCCATGAGTAACAGCCATCTAGGATGCTGTGCGATCCTGACGTAGTATTTCTGCTCTGGGAGAGGATGCCAAGGACAGGGAGGAGAGAGAAGGCAGTGTTGCTATATTTGGCCAAAACTAAAAAGGCAACTTTATCCTTCTCAAGATAGTCCTCCTTTAAATATGCAGAACCACCAGTAATCTCTCTAATTTTCTTGTGTCCGTCCGTCTTTAATTTCTCCAGATACTGCAGGCAAACAGAACACCAACATGTCCTGTGGGGATTTAAAAACCACGTCGATGCAGTTGAATTAGCACCCATAGCGCAGTCCCGCAGCCTGACAATGAACTCTGCAAGGCTGTTTATCAGAGGGTATGTTGTTGAATATTTGGCATATTTTTTTCATACAGTGCAAGTAACCAAATTCCTTAGGAAAAAGACAGAGCTACCTAGAGGACATTTCTTATTTTAAAGGGGGAAAAAAAAAGGCGGCTTTCATCTTTTCGTGCTAGCTTCTAGCCTCTCGGAGCCTTCCAGACAGGTTGAGTCTGTTAGTACCATATGAAGATCAGTTAACCAGAGACCTTTTTCAGTGCATCTCATCTTCAGTGCATTTCATAATCTTGTTCAGAAGAAAATACTCAATTTACCAGAATTTCTCAATTGCGGAGTAATTCTGATGTAAAAAATACAGCCATCTGTCTTGACTGGGAGCATAAATTGTTCACTCTGCCTCTACGGTTAGAACTTTTCGTTAAAATATAGCACTTGTTTGCGGCTCCTTCGTCACACAGATCTTCTGGAGATTGCTTGGAGTGGTGTGAAATACTAGTTGTGTGCCTTGTATTGCTGCATTTCCTCAGAGGGGAAGCAATCCATCCCATGGACCCTGAGAGTTTCCTTTGGTGCATAGATTGTATTGTAACGTGTATACACTGCACTATCTTGTGATACTGTATTTGAAAATCTAATAAAAAAGTGAATAAAAAAAAAAGTGTGAGTAATTTTTTTTTTTAATCTATGTTGTGGTAATGTGATGCACATCCAAGTCAGTTCCAGAAAATCTGGGGTATATTTATTTTGCCTGAAAGTACTTCTGACAATGAAACAATGATTTAATGATTTGAACAATGCATCTCAAAAAAAGGAGGGGACAAAAAAACCCAACCCTTCCAAAAGCATCTCTCCCCTCTAAGTATTTTTCAGTATCACTGGTGACAGCAACATGATGTTTCTTAGCATGGTTTGGTTATTAAATCACGCTGCCCCGTGGAGCATCTGGGCATTCTCAAAGCAGAAAACTGCTGGAGTGACTTGGACAAGCAAAAGTGGAAGCTTTTCCCGGAGACTGAGTATCTGCCAAATTCTGTACCTCTGGGTTAATGAAAACCACAGAAATGCAATTTCTTGGCAGTGCCCTTATTAAATTCTGGTTGTTCTGACTTTATGGAAGTAACTAATACAGAGATGATGTGTGTTTTCTTCCAGACCTCAGAATATATCATTCAAGCCTACAAGTACGGTGCATTTGAGAAGATCCCAGAATTCATTGCGTTTAGAAATAGGCTGAACTCTTCCCTTCACTTTGCGCAAGTTCGCACCGAGCGGATGTTGTTGGACCTCTTACTTGAAGCGAATATGTAAGTACAGCAGTGATAAGTGCAGCACCTCGCACGTGGAAAAAATGGGAGATTTGTGCATAGGCAGAAGAGGGGCTGAGTGAGACCCTGGAGAGCTGCGCCTGCAGCTCTTTGGCAGAAACCTGTGCCTCTGCCTCTAATTTGCTCTTCCCTGCAGCGTCCCTGGCAGCACCCTGTATGTGTAACATGAGCGAACAGTAGAGAGTGTGGTCTGTTGGCGAGCTGTTTTCTGTTTCCAGAGAGGAAACATTTGATTGTTGTTTGTTCTTACGTGCAGATCAACCAGTTTAGAAGAAAGTATAAAGTCCATGAGTCTGAGCCCAGAGGAGGATGACATTCCATGGAAGGATTTGCGTGACAACAGAGACCTGACGGTGTTGTTTAACTGGGATCCGAAAGACAGGTGAGTAGAAATATCCTCAGCTGTAGAGTCACACCTTTTCCTGGCAGCACCCATGGCAAAGAAAATCCTTTCAGGGCAGCTGCCCTATTTAAATGTTCTCTAGGCTGGCTAACTGCAAACTTACCAAGTGTCACTTGTCACTTCTAGCAGTGCTGCCTTTTTACATATTAATACAGTTTACTGAATTTCTGACAACTCTTTCCTCTTCATACAGTATTTGATAACTTTGGGTAGGCTTTTGTACCTGAGCAAAGCTTGCTACTTTGCAGAATTGAAGAATTTGCCTGAAAATGTTTGCTTTTCCCTAGGGACATTTCTGAAGAACATAGGAAACTCTCACTGGAGGAAGAAACCGTGTGGTTGCGAATCCGGTCTTTAACTTTAAGGCTAGTAAGCGGACTCCCAACTCTTAGTCACACTATTCAACCAAAGAACTCTGAAAAGACTGCAGAGAACGGCGTCTCATCCAAGATTGACACCATTCGATCCCTGCTTCAGCAGCTGGAAGCGGCAGTGGATTCAGGGAAGAAGTTTCTAGAACAAAAAATTCAGGTACCCGTTAAGGAAAAAGCTATCCCCAAATCTTAAATGAACATGAATGCAAGCAGAGAAACTGAATGCATCTTGTAACATCCAGCAGGCTGCAGAATGCACTTAACTGACCCTGTGTTTGTAGTGTATGAATCTGAGAGGTGTGCCAGAGAGAAACACTGTGTTCTGGATGAGGAAAAGCTGCAACACCTTTATCTTTTTCTTTGCTTCTTGCCTAGTATCCTGTCCTTGGCCCTCCTCCTACCCGAATGGCTGGCTTCTTCAGTAATGGCAGCTGTCAATGCCAGACTAGCTTGTTTTATCTTGTTAGTGATATTTATGAACTAGATACCAATGGCTTAGGTAAGTGTTTGAGGGGCAGGGGTTTAACTAGATTGTCATGGCGTGTGGTGGGAGGGAGCAGGACGGCTCTCCGTTAACTTTGAAAACTACTAGGCATGGGGTAATGTTGACCCAAACTGTGTTAACTTAGTGTCATTCAAAAAGTTATCTGGGAGACGATCCCTTAATTTAATGTTTTATGCGAGTCTTCAGTTTTGTACGGTGTATGTTGGTGTAATACTGGATCCTCTTTGAAAGCAGTTGCATTTGCTTTTGACTGATAACGCTAAATTACATTGAAATGCCTCTTGGTTTTCTGGAAGCAGAAAATACACAGACTTGTAGTTTATAACTACGTTTTTTTTTTCCTTTCAGAAGATTCAGCAGAAATCCAGGAAAGAATAGGGAATAGTTTCAAGTCTTTAGTAGAACGACTAACAGGTAACTAGTAACTCAAGAATAAACACTGGTAGCTAAGATGGTGCTCTGAGGATGTGCTGCTGAGTGTGCTGCAGCTATGGGGAGTGTGTTAATGCATCTGCAGACCCCTTTGAAAGGTCCTGGAGAACAAGGCTGAGGTTCCCCTTGGCTTGTCTGATCAGGAAGCTGTTGCATGCCACGGAATGTCATTGTGTCCTGTCATTTCGCTGCCTTGCAGCCTTGTCTTGGCGACTGTTGTCTCCTGGTACTTGGTCCAGGTGTGTTAATAAATGGTGTGCAGGTACTGTCTGTCATGAAATGCAGTTCAGAGGGCTTTAGAGCTGGACCTTCTGAAGAGGCTTTGGCCAAAGTTATCATTTACTGCTTAGTGGTTGGTCTTCTGACAGCTCTGCACACTGCCCCGACATGCACACTGTACAGAAAATGCGCATTAAGTTGATCTGTGTCCTGAATAAGGCTTTTCTTTTTTTTTTCTTTTCAGACTTGTTCATTAAATGTAAAGGTGACTTGATTGAAGTCAGAGATGGCACCTTGAAAACTCATCCAAACCTGTTAGAAAATCTAGTCTTCTTTGTTGAGGTATTTTTTTTTCCTTTGTAAACTAGAACTTTTGGAGTACTTTAGGGTAGAAATGTTGGGACTAAAACATGGTGGAAGTTTTTTGATCTCAGTCACTCATGAAAGCAGAGTTTTTTGATGCATATTCTAACCACTCTGAGCCTTATCAGTAGGAACACTAGAACGAAGAAGCCTCCTGTAAGTGCAACTTAGAATATACGTGTACCTTTTTTCCAGACGGTCTCCATTGCCCTGTGGGTATCGAGTTACTGTGACAGCGTCCTCCGACCTTTTAAATCCAACCTGCAAAAAAAGAAGAAGAAAAAAAAAGAAAGCAGTGTAGCTATGGTAGAGACAATATTCCTTTCTTTTTCTCCCCCACCCCCAATCCAGCAGCATATTTATACTGAAAGGAAAAACAGGGTAGATAACACGTTAGTAAACTGGTTTTCATAAACTTTGCCTTGTAGAGGCTGACGTGGGTTACTCAGTACTGATTGTTGAAAGTCCTTTTCTGTTTAAAATCAAATGGTGATGTGCCACACCTCTGCCATCACGTGACAGCTTTTTAATAGGAAACACAATTGGGAGTATCGCGGGCTGTCCTGCCTTGAGTGCACCGCAGGAAGCTCGTTGCTGGTAGTGTTGATCTGGGTAGGTAGATTACAGCTTGGCACTGGGGGGAAGGAACAGAGCGATAGATGTTACCAAGTGAGTTGTCATGTAGGATAGTCATGTGAATGGGCATTCATATCTCTTTGTACATTAAAACTATGTGTTTGTTTCTATAGCCACCTGTATTTACACATTTTCTGGATTATGTTACTGAACTACAGACATTAACTTCCAATGTAATAGATCACATCAAAGGGCTTGAAATAATTCTGACTGCACTAAAACTTGAAGAGCTGTCCCTCAAGGACACGCTGCTTTTACAGGTAAGAACTCACGTTGTTGTTTGGGTGCTCTGTACGTTTGTGTGACCGATAACAACCCGTACGTACAGGCCTGTGGGATAACTCTGTTGAAAGCTTCTTTTCACCAAATTGTTTTACTGGAAGGGGAAAAAAAAGGAATACAAACAAACAAAACCCACCCATTATGACTGACTTCATTGCTCTTAACCACAGGTTGCGACCAGGCTGCTAGAAAGCTTAGTTGTAGAGTGGTGAGTTAGGGGGGCTTTTTTATAGTGACACAGTGACTTTGGCTCATCTGATGAGCTCCAGCTCACTGCAAAAATAATCTCAAAAAAATGAGATCTGAACACAAGAATTCTAAAATACTTTCACTTTGTGTGGTATATTAGTGAAGAAAAACTGATGGTTTTAACGTTATTTTGTTGTCCGTGATACGAGTTACTCTATTATCTATCGTACATGCCATGATGGATGCAAAAGACTTATTCCAGGAAACATGTGAGATTCACCTACTGCTGAGTAGTTACTTCCCTGGAAACAATTACTTGATCTTTACAGAACAGCAAGTGGCAACTTCACCCCCCCACACACACACACCCCTTGGCTATATTGGGAAAACCAAAGGCAGGAGTAGGAGGCACTGCATGTGCCAAACCTCACGCCAAATTCGGACACGTGAAACACGGGCCTAATGAGGAAGCTTGACTTTTTAAGCTGCTGCCATCAGATAGACGAGTGAATGTTACTGCCATAAGGGATGTTCTGTACTTGCTATGAATGGATTTGTTTAAAACAGTGGTTGAGATCCTGAAAGTACCTTTGAAATCAGAGCCCAACTAAAAAGCCTAGAGGTGGCTGAAAGCACAGAATTGGAATTTCCTTCATGGTGCTCTTGAAACAGAGGTGGGGATAAAAGGTGCAATGCGGCAAAGCGGTGGAATAGGCATCATCTTCTGGTATGCAGGGGAGAGGGGCTGAGGGAGTGGTGAGTCGTGCTCCTTGTCAGAGAATTGCAGGTTCCAGGGTAAAGGTTTGAGAGGAGAGTTGTCTCCTCACCAGTTCTAATTTGGGGGGTGGGAGAGACTGAGTAAGGAGAAAGCACAGGCAGGAGCTGTGTCATAGGCATGTCTGAAAACTGCACATTAAAGGCAGTTTCATCCCTTGGGGAAAGCTAGGTGCCAGTGTTGCTGAATCGGTGACATCCAAACCTGTCCCAGGCTCACTGTGGCTTGGAATTTGGTGTAAAGAGTCTCTTGGCTGGTCAGCATTCATTTGCTGTTTGACTTCAGTTCTCTGCTGAAGAAATTTGCTACTTTAATAGATGCTGACTAAAATAAAATGCTATGTGCACACTCAGCCGCAAGTATTTTGCACAAGGATGCTTCCAGAAGTTTTGATGAAATGTTCATGTGTTACCAACCCTGTCTGGGCAATACCAGTACCTGCAGGAATTACTGCTGCTGAGCAGGTGCTGCTTATTCTGTGCTTATTCACTGTGTCCTCATGAATTTCTTCTCAGTGTTTGAGGTGATGGGCAAAGTTTTGACAGGAGGAAGTTTAAACAGTTGCTGCAGAGTGAATGATTTCTCTTTTGCGTTTTGCAGGAAGAAAAAAGGTTTACAAAGACTGTGCAAGGGAAGGTCCAGAGCAGTTACCATCACTCAGTTCAGGAAATTGGAGAGCTGCTGAAAAAGAGACTCGATACCATTAAAAAACTAAAGATTTGAGAAACACATCCTTGACAGACTCCACAGGGGAGTGACACCAGAGTCCTGGACAGAAGCAACATCCAATATACCATCACTTTAATCCAGAACTTCCTCATAATGCATGAAGGACTTCAAATCATAAAACAATTTTTTTAGGTATTACAGATGTATTGAGCTGATTTAAATTATTGTACATAAACGAGAAGCAGGGACCCTTATCAGGGTTTGACCACTTTTTATACATGTTCATAAGCATATTGCAACAGGAGAAAATTAACTTTCTTCCCTTTTGATCTCTAGAAACAACTGGAGATGGTCTTTAGAAGCAGCAATAGAAATCCAGTGTAAAGCCTATATCTCAAAGGAGTTGTATTTTCATCACCATACAGTGTTTATAATTTTTGTATGGTCCTTGCCTTAGAAAAGCAGAAATTGTAGATGCCCGCATTCAGCCACCTCCGATGAAACGAGCCTGTTGTGGAGCTGCCTCTTGTCCCCGAGCCACCTGGTCCTGCGGAGTCAATCCGGTGTGCGGGTGCAGCAGGGAGAGGTGAGGCTGCGCTGGAGGCCCCCCAGCAGGGCCCAGCCCTCCGCCGCAGCGTGGGGGTCTGCTGTGCCGGGCGGCGAGGCAGGTTCCTCCGAGGGCAGAGCTGCTGGAGGGAAGAGGTGGTGTCTGTGTACACCCACGGGGGGTTGTCGTCACGTTGGGGGGAAAATGGCAAACCTGCTGAGGAGCAAACTTGGCTTTGAAGAGGGAAAGATGGGAATCGGTGTCAGCACAAAAAGACAAAACCGCAGACCTTGTACATAACAGCTGCAGTGAAGTCTGGCACTGCGGTCTGATTTCGGTCGGTTTGATGTAAAACAGCAATCATCACAACTTTTTAAAAGTGTGTTTAGATTACTGAAACTTTAAGACTTAAATATTTTAATAGAAATTAAATCCTATTGGCTTTGGTTTTAAGTTGGCAGAGGTAACTCGCTTCCGCTGTGGTATGAGGCTGAGAATACTTTCTGTAACTGTACGCTTGCTTTTCGCAGTCGATCTTTGATTATTCAAGTACTAGCTCGGTAGCCGTTCTGTTAGAAAGTGCGGTCGCATCATCTGCTCCCACTGAATCTGCATTTCTGCTGGATTTTTTCATTTTAAAGGAGTAATGCAGCCTAAAACTGGTAAGCAAAAAAGAGCTACATGTACTTGCAATACAAGGGACAGGTCAGACTACAGATTTCCTCGTTGTCTGATTTAAAGCAGCTAGTATCTGAAGTCTATATTTAAAGTTTTAAGAGAGCTGACAATCCTACCTTTGTCATCTCTGCCGAGTATGTTTTGTTAGTAATACTAGAATGTTGATGAGAGTATTTTTTTAAAATAAATCCCCTGTATAAAAAAAAAAAAAAAAAAAATCACATAGCTGCTCTTGCTGGATTTAGTTTTGCTTTGCCCCATCCTGAAAGGGAAAGAAGAACGTCTGCAGGTTGTCTGAATTATAATGAATGTCCTGATGGTTTAATTGCGATGTCTGGTAAGTGCTCTGGGCTGGAGGAATACCAAAATGTGTTAAGTCTGGTTTAGAGTAATACTTTTCCTGGGAAAACACAGCAAAAAGAACCAACAACAAACTGAACTCTTACATGTTGTATAGAAGTACCTTTTTTGAAAGAAGGGTGTGCTCTTTAAATTAAAACAAGGCTGATGGCTGAAGCTGGTGCTTTGAAATGTGTAGGGTAAGTGAAAACAGTCCCATTGCCGAGACGATGCAATTCATAGAGAAGCACTGAGCCAGAAATCCACACTGCCCCTTTCTGTTCAAGGAGGCAAGTTGTCGTTTCTGATGGTCCTGTCCCCACGGCGGTGCCGAGTGGTGAGGGCTGTGTGCGCACACCAGCTGACACCAGCACCCTCAGCCAGAGGGGCTGGGCGGGCTGATGGATGCTGGAGTTTCCTTCCACAGCTGTACAACAGCTCGAACTCAACCAGGCATATCAGTAAGTGATGGTGAGAGTCAAAGTGAAGCGTGAGGTTGATATAACCAAGCTTTTAAAATCCTCCTGTGTGCCTGAGAGCAGAACTTGCTTTAAAAAAAAAAAAAAAAAAAAAAAGGTTTTCTCCATCAGCCCCCTTAAAACCAAGAAACTCTTGGGGGGGGGGGAACAACACACCACACGGGATGACATGTGTCATCTGAAGCAGAGTCAGAAGAGCTGGAAGCAGGGCTCGCTCTCGCTTCCCATCGCGGCGTTTGGCATGGTGCAGGGCCAGCGTTGGCCAGTCACTCGAACCATCCCTGGGCCAGCCCAGAGGGAATACTGACTGCTGCTCGGTGTTAGCTGCTGGCCTGTTTCCAGTTCCAGCCACTGGCAAACAATAAGCTTGTCAAACAAATACCGTTTTTGGATTGCTCAAGTGTTTTATAAAACCAGATGCCATCTTTTCACAAGCTGTAACTTCTCTGTAGGAGGAAATGGTGTACAAAAATGACAACGTACTGACTGACTGGGGGCTTGGTTGAGGGAGAGGGAGAATTTCTCTCCTCCTATAAATTGTGTACAGTTAAATATATTATATATTTCTTACGAAAGAGCATTTCCCCTCCAGGAATATGTCCCACAGGGACCTGGTAAGAAATTCAAGCTATAACCCATTGCTGCTGTTCCCCCTTTTCCACTCTTGGGATTTGTTTTTGTTTGTTTGTTTTGGATTTATTTCCTTTTTTGGTGACGAATTGAAAAACATACCTAGAAGAAGCTACCAAGACTACTGTTTACAGACTGAAAAAATACTGCTTTTGTACTACTGGGATCATGAGCCGCGATCCTTTTACAGATTTCCTCAACTCTACTCTTTGCTTAAAATCAGTGTCTGGTGTAGATGAAGGTCAGAAGTCTCCTACCCTGCTTTGTCTACATTCAGGACAAAATGTACAATGCGTGTTTGTGTTGCCCATCATTTTTGTACTTTTAACTGTTCAAGAATTGCATTTATATTTTGCAATCATTGATAATCATGACTTTATTTTAACCGCTAGTAATCTTAGAAGGGATTTTTGTTGTATCTGCAGCCTTACCTGAACTTCCTTGATTATTCATTGTTAATTTATGACTGTAGAAGATACGTCTGCCTCAGCCTTCTACGGACTTAAGTGACACCACTGCGACTGATCTGCTTTAAACTGGATGGGTTTATAATTTATATAAAAGTCAGTTTCGTTACAAATCGGTGTTGCTGCCTCTCATTTTTCTGTTTGGGTGGTCTGGAAGCAACTAACGTGCTCACCTAACACTGTTTAGTTTTGACAGCCCCTCACTGAAGCCAGATTGTCCCGGTGCAAGGCAGGAGGATGGAAAAGGGGGCGGGGGGGGAATACTCATTGTTTTCCACCTGCCCCTGGAGTTCAGAATGATGCCTGCGGGGGGGAGGGGGCTTGGATGCGTCTGTTCTTTGACATGACCGTGTGCCAATCTACTGTTCAGGCTTTCTGCATTGCTTACTTGCGCTTCATCCTGGCTTTCAGCGCTCAGGTAAGCAAGGGTGGCAGCGCATGAGGTAGATCCTCTAGAAGCACAGCTGTCCTTAAGAGGGTTGTGACAGCACCCCCGCTGCCTCGCCTGCTGCTGTATACAAACGTATTACACCCCAAGTCCTGCACGGCCGGACCCCGCGCTCTGCCCCTTCCCCCGCCTTCACCTTCTCTGGATTTTGCTGCTGGACGCTGCCCCCTTGGGTTTATTTTCCTGCCCCCCACACCTCAGCAGCAGCACCCCCCTCT